GTGCCGCAATGCTGTTGCGAATACTCCAGCAAAACGGAACCGCTTCCACACATAATACAGATTGGTCCTTGCCACAAACCCCTAAACCCCGAAAAAAACCCCTAAACCCCGAAACCCCTAAACCCCTAACCCCAAAACCCCTAAACCCTCAACCCCAAAAGCCGAAAACCCCCAAACCCCTAAACCCCTAAACCCCGTGTGCAGGTGGTGAGCTGGCAGAGGCTTTGGAGAACGTGGCGTCCATTTGTCCATGCCGGCGTGATTCAGGGTTCATGGCTTTAGGGGCTCAGGGGTTTAGGGGTTTAGGGGTTCAGGATTTAAGGCTCTGTAAGGGTTAATGCTCTAAGGGTTTAGAGGCTTGGATTTATTTTTCGGGGTTCCCTAAACCCTGAACCCCAAACCCTTCAGGAGGCTTTGGTCGTTGGCCTTTTGGGTTGCAGCTTTTCAGCGCATCAGGGTCTGAGCTTTCGAGGATTCGGCGTCGTCGGGTTATGGTCAGACTTGGGACTTCTAATACCAAAATAAAAATAGCAATACTAACAATTGAAGTAAACAAAAAGAATAACAATAGTAGTAATAAGAGCGACAGGAATAGCAATAAGAACAATAATGATAATATTAACAATAATAATAATAATGATAGTAATAGCAATAATAATAATAGCACTAAGAACAACAACAATAATAATAGTAATAATATGTTAATAATACTCATAATAGTAGTAGTTATAATAATAGCAATAATAATACTGACAATGTTAATAATAGTAATAATAATAATAACAATAACAATAATAACAATAATAGCAATAATATTAATAATAACAATAATAATAGCAACTACAACAACAGTATACACATTCGCAATAATAATGGTTCCGTTCATCGCCAGGTAAGGACTTCGAGGAGGTGGGGGCAGAAACGAGTTTCGGCGAGGAGTACGGTGACGAGGAGGGCGAGGCAACTGCCACCGGATTTCAGCCACCGGCTAGGGTTCAGGGTTTAGAGTTTAGGGTTTCCTAAACCCTAAACCCTAAACCCTACACCCTAAACCCTAAACCCTGTTTTAGGGTTTAGGGATCCCGGCGCATTGGATCCTAAGCCTCTTGGGCCAAGTCAAGAAGTCGGTCATGTCGAGAAGCCTGAAGCCCGCAGCTGCAGCTTTAGGGCTTTAGGGCTTGAGGTTTAGGGCTTAGGGTTTAGGGTTTAAGGTTTAGGGTTTAGGGTTTAGGGTTTCGGGTTGTACTACCTGTCTTACCTATCTTCTTGACTTCATATGGCTGTTGCATTCCTTCAGTCCATCAGCCATGCCAGGAATATTGAGCAGCACTCTGAGGGGGCTTCACAAAGGGCTCTCTTTGCCCGAAAATGCCCTGCAACCACACTTTGAACTAATTCGCCTGCTCGGAGATCCGAGCCCAAAATGGCCTGGACGGCTCTCAAGGAGCCGGTGGGCCTCTTAGCCTTTTCTTAGGGGCTGAGTAGGTAACCTTTAGCCTTTTGGGGCTTGTATAATGTGGGCTAAGGTACTCGGCCCCTAAGTTTTTCTTCGCAGCTCCATTGAGTGGAGCCTTGTGGCATTGTGCTGCGGCTTTCAGTCCCCTCGCCTCGTCCTGCTTTGGCGAGCGCAGAGGCTTCTGAGAAGCTGGAAGTCGACAGCATCTTCCGGCTGTGACTTTTCTCACAGACAGGACACGATGGTAACTTCTGTGTTAAGCGACACTTGTCATGCACTGCTGGACAGGGGCTAGATTCCTGGCCACGCAGGGGCGCGCACACGCAGCAGGAAAAGCTGCGGAGCAAGCTCGGTTTTCTCGTTTGGCCAAAAGGGGCACTGTTTGATTCCCCTATCCAGGCAGGCAAGCACGCTCACATGGCCAAGTTCAAGAATGTCCTGGACACGCAGATGAAGGTACTGCGGCAGAAAAGACGCAGAGAGGCCTCGTGCTCGTCTCGCTTTCCGAGGAATTCAGGCAGACGCAGGATGATGAGGAACGGGCACGACAGCAAGAACGTCAGGCCCGGAACAACACTCCGGTCGGGTGTAGATGTCGCGGGAAATGCTGCAGCCATGGCCATGCCGCAAGCCTCTGTCATGCTGCAGGACATGCTCAACCAAGTCAAGGAGAATCAGCGACTTGCTGCAGCAGAAAAGGCCGGCGCGGTCAAAGCCCTTGTAATATTTCACATCATGATGATGGCGTCTATGACTCCGGTGGCTGATGCAGGCGCATCACGATGCGGTGAGGGACAAGGCCAAGAGCATCAACGAGCAGCCAACCTGGCCTTCTTGACTGCCCAGAGGTCAAGGTATATTGATATCATTCTGCTCCTATTATTGTTGTTGTTGCCTCCGCAACACTTACATTCATTGACTTTTGCCATGCTCTCCCTTTGCCCTCCTGCGATCCCTCCGATGTTGCAGTAGCGGTCGCAGCAATACTGGTCGTCGTGGCTGTAGTAGTTGTCGTAGTAGTAGTAGTAGTAGTAGCAGCAGCAGCAGCAGCAGTAGTAGTCGTCGTCGTCGTCGTGGTAGTCGTAGTCGTCGTCGTCGTGGTGGTGCTGGTGCTGCTGGTGCTGCTGCTGGTGCTGCTGCTGGTGCTGCTGCTGCTGCTGGTGCTGCTGCCGCTGCCGCTGCCGCTGCCGCTGGTGCTGGTGCTGGTGCTGGTGCTGGTGCTGGTGCTGGTGCTGGTGCTGGTGGTAGTAGTAATGGACGTGGAGGTGAAGAGCACTGGATCGAAGCACAGTTTGCAGCTCCAAGCGATGTCACCCGCGCTCTGCTTCTACCCAGGTTTTTGAGTTGAGGGATTGAAGATCAGGCAAAACGGATAGGGATGGGGTGTGCGTTCGGATTGCAGGCATCGGGAACTTTTGGATGAGGTCCGAGATTTTGCAGGTTTCGATTCCCGGAGCAGGGCTGTGGGTACATGCAGCGCCGGCAGTGTTTGCCAAGGTTCACGGGGATGCGCGTGATGTGGCGGGTATCCTCAAATTTTAACCCTCGAGATTCACAAGGCAACTATGACAACAGCATACAGTATACAGAAGGCTCACTATGATCCATTAGTTCATTAGTGCTGCTATGGTTTTCATGCAACTTGACGACGGGCACATTGTGATTAGCGTATGCATGATCAGGTGATAGATAGAAAGAAATCACAAAGTATTCAGGCGCCTATAATCAGTGCCACATCTGTGTAGAGCCTGGAACCCTCAACTGTCGAGTGGTCTGACGTTTGCCACAGAGCGGGTTGCGAATTAGTCTCAAATCCTGCAGAATAGTTGGTATGTGGATTTCGGAAAAGCTGTGGGGATAGGTGCCGAAGTGGTTGAAATAAAGTTGCCGGCATAGTTGAAACAAAGCCGATGGAGGAGTAGGTTGGGCCGCGAAGGCTATTTTTTGTCAGCTTTTGTTCAACTTTTTTCCTAGGGAAATGCTGAATCTCCCTTCCTACCCATTCCCGGCTCCGCCCCCTCCCTCCCCCTCCCCCTCCCCCTCCTCGCATCCTCCCCACCCTCCCCCTGCAGCCTCCATCAACTTGTTTTGCAACTTTTTGTTCGGCTGGTCCTGCACATAGGTTTCCTGAGCTCAACTTTCTGCTCAACCTTTTTCAGCTTTCTTCTTGAAAAAGTTGAGCCTTGTGCCATCAACTTTTCGGATATCTTGGAATGAACTTTTTTCAACTTCTTTTCTTCTTTTCACCTTTTATTTATTCTCTGATAGCCCAGCCTGTGCCTGCCCAGCGCCTGTCACAAAAGTCGGCTTAGGAGAGAAACTGTCATCCCCCCCCCCCCCATTGGCAAGGTCTCGGGCTCGAAGCTCCGTGGATGCTCCAGGAAAAGTGGCAGCCCAAGAGTGGTTACAACAACGACAGGAGGTCTGCATCGGCACCTTTATTGCAATGGCTTCGGGGCTTATGCGCCACCTGGGCTATGCCGGTTAGAAGGTGCGGCGCATTTAGCAATCTATGATTTGGGATTAACTCAACCATCTCATACCTCGCCCGAGGCTGCAGAAGGCCAAAGAGCTTCTGGAGATTGCGTTCCGTCAGCCCAGCGCGCGACACTCGGATCTTCGACAGCAACAGTTGTGGGTGAACAAGCAAACAGGCTGCCGTGATGCGTGGTAGCAGTCGCAATACACTACTCTTCGCTTTGGTATCAGCAGCAAGCAGAACATGAGTGCGATGCCCTCGTGAAGCCAAAAGCGCCTGCCGTCCGCTTCTCGCGAGGTGGTGGATGTCACGGGTGTCAATTCCATCATCACGGCTCTCGGGCACCTCGAAGAGGCAGGGTGGCAGGGTGCGTTTCATCTTCGGAAATTTCGGAGCCCAAAGACTAATTTGGTGTGGGGCTTGTCGCAGTTAGCATGCCCTTGTTTGGTGTCGAGCAGATCGCAGAAAAGCTGCTGTTCCGATGGGCCGGAAGACACACCAGGATACCTGCCCCTCTGAGGATGTAGGTAGTCCGATAGCCGGGTTCATGCAAGGATTAAATCAAGTATGACATACTGAAGTCATACTGACTCACTGATATCACGACAAAAACCAGAATTGGTGCGACGACGACTTTCGAAGGTTGGCACGGCTGGCACGACGACGGTGGTGATGCCCATGATGGGGATTCGTCATGATGATGATGATGATGAACATGAACGCCCAGTAGATGCCTCAGCCATGAAGGCAATAATGTGAAGGTGTCATTGCGAACAACCGTATGCCTCGGTGCCAACCACCCGGATTTTTGACAAAGTTGCGCATGGCTGTAATTCACCTAGGCCGAGTCGGACAGCCTGGAGGCCATGCATAAGCGTGGACCATGAATGGCAAGAACACATTCAGCAACCATGTAGAGACCATGGCAAGTCCTTGGCCTGGATGCCCAATCCTGAACTGAACGAACACCGGACTCAGATGCAAGTCGGGCGTTCCGCCTCATTTACAGCTCAGCATCGTTTCAGCAGCTGCTCCTAAGTTTTTGCAGATTGGCCAGCGCACGACCCGGATTATGCAAGCAGGCAGGGGCTCCGAGATGTGGGCTTAGCAGATGGAGACTTCTGGGCTTGAGGCGTGTGGTTTGGGGTGCGAGGCAGGTTCGTTCCATTGATTTGGTCGTGCCGTTGCCTAGCTCTCCAGCCTCTCCAGCTAGGGAGGGCTTCCAGGCTAGACCTCTTACTTCATGAGGGTCTGTCTCTGACCATCTGCTCGTGATGGACTGCCTTGCCTCTGGTGAGGATATGTCAAGTCGCTCTACGATTCCGCAGGCTCGGTCAAAAGAGACTTCGCCTCATCGGCTTCGGAGTTGGGGCTTAAAATGGTATTCTGTTGGAGTGTGGATATGGAGCTGACTAGGAAGAGCTCTGGGGTTCTTTCGTCCCTCTAAGCCGACGCACGACTTGCTTTTCCAGCTTGTGGAAAGGCGAGCTGGTCTACGAGCTCTCAGACAGTGATCAGCTGGCGGTCCAGGACTTCGATGGTTCTTTTGGGCTGAAAGCCCCATTCCCTGAGCTTTCGGAGAGTTTTTCAGGGACCCAGCGAGAGGAGTACACCTTGAAGTACATCTTCGTGCTTGGGGACCTCCTCCCGCTCGTGCTCATGCAACCGGAGGCCTCGTTCCCCAGGGGGAGCTTCTTGTCTTTGGGTCGTCCTTAAAACCAATAACACTACTACCAACAATAACAGCAAATATATTAGCAGTAAGATTCGTAATAATGATAATGGGAATAAGCGCAATACAAGTACGAATATATAGTTATTGTTCGTAGCCTTTTTGTTAGTGCTATTCGTATTGTTATTGCAGGCTCCGACGAAAACGTTTGGCAGGGCTTCTTATTCTGATGATGAGGAGGCTTTTAGCCCCTGCCTAAGCAGGAGATTGCGGACGTCTTCGCGCAGGACAGTGTCGCTTTTTCTCCGAGCCTGCACCCTGTTGGATTGAGCCTCCGCTCGGAGTCAGGAAAGGGGCCATCCCTTGCTTCGGCGCCGGCGGATCCTTTCTACGCCGGAGACCTGGGCGTGTGAACGTAATTACCTTTCCACCTTAGGATGCGGCGATGATGAAGTATGCGGGAAGTTTCGCAAATACATATATTATGTTCTCACGCACATATATGTATGAATATATACACAAATACGTACATACATACATCCATCCATCCATCCATGCATGCTTGCTTGCTTGCTTGCTTGCTTGCTTGCGTGCTTGCTTACGTACTTGCTTGCTTGCTTGCTTACTTACTTACTTACTTACTTACTTACTTGCTTACTTACTTACTTACTTACTTGCTTGCTTGCTTGCTTGCTTACTTGCTTACTTACTTACTTACTTACTTACTTACT